ATACCTGATTTGAAGAATTTCTATTTGTACCAAGAGAAAGACCACAGGCCCTATATTTCACAGAGATGTTGTCATAGGCACAGAACAGGGTGAGATAGACTGATAGATCTGACAAGATATGAAACACTTGTATTGTTTTAGAAATCTCAAGACCCACCTTACCATTTGTGTAGAGAACTGCAATCAGCCTGGGCAGCTAATTTTGATATTCATGAAATGACAATCAGAAGGTTTCTTATTGTTGAATTTTTACTGACTAAAAGATGAGGAGCTTTTTGAGTGCCAAAATCCTTTGACCTACCTTGGATTCTAAATGTCTTCACTTGAAGGCAGGCAACCATTTACTACTCCAACTTAGGCAGCAAGATGTCTTGAGCCAGTCTTGGCAATGTGGTTCTTCATTTTGTTTTCACAAAATGAGTACTAATCTCTCTTTCCCTCAGTCTGGTCCCCAAGACATAGGACATATTTGTTTCATTAACTGTGTTTAACCTGAGATTAAGCATCTTACTTTGACATGTAAATAACCCAAGTTGCAAGAAAAAAGCATAAACAATGGCCATTGTGTGGAACTCCTTAAGTTAAGAGACTTCTCCATTGTGCTAATGTTCCTAGTGACTCTTTACATATAATAATTTTAATAATTTTTATTAAGAATTTTGAAAACTAATACAAACTAACTGTAAAGAAAAAAGAATAGAGAGAAGTAAAAACTGCAATGAAAAAGAAAGAGAGGGGAAAAAGAGAGAGAGAAATCAATACAATAAGAAAGAGAAAAGTTTGGTCTAGTGGTTAAGGCACCAGGCTAGAAACCAGGAGACTGTGAGTTCTAGCCTCACCTTAGGCATGAAAGCCAGCTGGCTGACTTTGGGACAGTCGCTCTCTCTCAGCCCAACTCACCTCACAGGGTTGTTGTTGTGGGGAAAATAAGGAAGAGGAAGGAGTATTAGGTATGTTCATTGTCTTGAGTTATTTATAAAAATAATAAAGGCAGGATAAAAAAAATCTAAAAATAAATAAAGAAGTGACTTCTAACCTTCATTACAGCAAGTATGTTCCTAGTGACTCTTTAGGTCTTGCTTCAGAATTCTAATATAGAATAACATTGTAATACTTCCTTTTCATGTTTTTTCCAACAGCTAGGTTGCTTCCATTTCCTGTACAGGTTCATTCACCTGGATAATTCAGGTTTCTCTACAATCCATTATATTTACCAAGGGTCCTGCTGGAAAAGCTACCTCTAGTCAAGCATCTGATTTCCCACAGAAGCCCACCAGAGAAGGTGATAGAAATCTTCTGGTAGTGCTTCTCACCCTGTGATGTTCAGGGGTTACACTCCTCTGATTCTTGAAGCAATTTGCAGTCCATCATATTTAGTACCTATTGATAGCTTAATTCAGAAAAGTTAATTATGAATTAAGCTATCAATGGCTATTAAATATGACTGATATTAGATTTTAATCAAGTATATCATTCATATTTTAACAACTTCAAAACAAGTGAACAGAAGATAGAATGTTATAGGAAGATTTCATCTGTGTAATTGTTTCCTTAATGTAATATGTATCTTAATTTCCCAGTTCTTATATATAAGAGAAGAAGTTATATGCATATATTTCTAGAAGTAATTCCCAGTATGATCAATGGTGCTTGAACCAATATATAGAATTGGTCCTCATTTTCTCAGTCAGGTGTTTTACTTTTGTATTTAACAGCTTATGTGATAAGGTGGAAATAAACTAAAATGGGTGTAATTTTATCTGAAAATCCACCTTCCAAACATATCTAATATCTTGGGTTCATCAGACATATTATTTTAATACAATCAGATATGCTATATAGAGCAACTAATCCTAGAGAAATTGAAACATTATTTCAGACATGCATTTTGAACCGTACCTGGTGATCAGGAAGGGATTTATTCATTCTTTATAGGAAATACTCAAACTTTGAATGGCTTCCAGCAGAAAGACTTTAAAAAGCAGTGGTAATACTAAAAAGAACATCTGTTTTTGAAGCTTATGCCTACTAAAATAAACACTAACATTATAGATTGTGGCATACAGACTTCTACATGACTTAGAAAATAGCAGTATAATCTATACAATTGTTTGAACAAATACTGTAACTACAATCTACATACACTACATATAACCTCCTGTCTTCCACGACTGTCTTGGGGGGGACACACACATTACTTGTCAATCTCAGATAATACTGTATATATTTGATTAAATGGAGTTTAGTTTATCAAAGCTTGCTGTAGCAGACTGATATAACTACCCCTCTGGAAAACAATGGATTAGTTTCAGGTAAATTAGTTTCAGCTAAATTAAAGACAGCTCTTCCAAAAGCATGCTTAAGTCACAGTAGATATAAGAAGTGTGTGTGTGTGTGTATAAGGCCTCTCCACTGAAAATTAAGGACTCTAATCTACTATGCTGGTCCAGTTTGTCCCAGTAAGGCTGAGAGAAGATGGCTGGCCCAAAGTCACCCATCTGGCTTCCATGCCTGAGAGACGAGTAGAACCTGGGTCTTTCTGCTCCTAGTCCCTTATCCACTATACTTACTACTCATAAAGTGTTCTTTCAGATTGCTAAAACTGACAACAAATCCTTGGTACATATATCTCAGACATAGATAAATGAGATCCATGATGCATAATTTATATGACAATGTGTACATAATTGATTACATTGTATTTATTTTGTATTAGGTCACAATTTATTTATTGTTATCCAGAGTAATTGTTGTCATTTACATGCAATATACAAATGCAATCCTACACTGATACTTTTATTTTGAGAATCTGGGGAGGAAGCTTCTTCAAATTCAGTAGCAAATACTTCTGAGAAACCATGCATATAATGAGCAGAGCGGGAAGATTTGAAAGCACATTTATTTGTAAAGAACTGCTTCCAAATGTGCTTAGCAGGACAGTGAACTTGCACTTCAGCCACAAAACTAGTTTGACTGGCACCCATAT